GAGGCAGGAGGATCACTTGAACCCAGGAAGTCGAGACTGCATGAGTCGTGATGGTGCCACTGCACTCCAGCCTGGGTGACAGAGCAAGGCTCTGTTTCAAAAAAAAAAAAAAAAAAAAAAAAAAAAGCTCTGGGACTTAAATACTTACCATTCAAGAAGCAAAGGGAACCAAGGCCCCTCAGAGACAAGCACCTGCTCCTCAAAGCAGATGGGACACCCCAGGGTCTGAGGGGCCTGGGGAGTTTAGCTCATGCCATCTTCCTCCGGGGCAAGTAGCCCCCGGGCCCCGAAGCTGAGCTTGCTGCTCAGACACTTCTGAAGTAGGGGGCTTGGAAAGGCAGATGGAGCTACAGGAGTGAACCCTGGGGATGAACCCAGGAAAAGCGGACTTCCTGGGGCAGCGTCCAGTACAGTAGCTGCTAGCCATATGTGGCTATTTAAACTCTCATTTGAACTAATTAAAACCAAGTAAAACTGGCCGGGCATGGTGGCTCACGCCTGTAATCCCAGCACTTTGGGAGGCCGAGGTGGGTGGATCACAAGGTCAGGAGATTGAGACCATCCTGGCTAACACGGTGAAACCCCGTCTCTACTAAAAATACAAAAAATTAGCCGGGCGTGGTGGCGGGCGCCTGTAGTCCCAGCTACTTGGGAGGCTGAGGCAGGAAAATGGCGTGAACCCGGGAGGCGGAGCTTACAGTGAGCTGAGATCGCGCCACTGCACTCTGGCCTGGGTGACAGAGCAAGACTCCGTCTCAAAACGAAACAAAACAAAACAAAATCAAGTAAAATTAAAAACTCAAGGGCTCTACCCACATTTCAAGCGCTCAGCGGCCACACATGGCTTGTGGCTCTTATCCTAGCACACACAGAACATTTCCATCATTATAGAAGTTTCCATGGAAAAGTGTGTCTTGAGGGACAAGGAGAAGGGTGGGAGGGATAGGGAGGGAAGGGAGGAGAGAGGAGATGGCAGAGCAGGACCCCTCCCTAACACACCAGTCCCCACTCCAGGCGAGTGCTTACCCAATGACAGCCCGTTTCTCTTCTGCAGGACATCCCTGTAGAAGTTCTGCTGCGTGTGGTCCAGCCGACCCCACTCCTCCCGGGAGAGGTACAAGGCCACATCCTCAAAAGTCACTGGCATCTGAAACAATATGAAACATCCACTCTCCAGGACATGCCGTGGACACGGTGGAGGGACACCATGTCATGAGATGTGTGGTGAGACCCTGGACTCCCAACCCACTGTCTCTAGTGAGGTCTGCCACTTCCATCTGATGGGGAAGCAGGTGAGCCACCCAAGGCCTTCTGGGGCGTTGAGAAAGAACAAAGACCAAGCGGTATTTTCAGGGACCACAATTAAGACTTAGGATGTCCATGCAGCCCCCATCCTCAGCTCAGACCTCAGAGGATGGCTCCAAACGGCTCCCAACGAGAGGTCCTGTGTCTCTAATTCCTGCTGCTTCTCCTCCAGCCTTGGCCCAGGCCTGACCATAGGCCTTGAGCCTGGAAAATTCCAGCAACACTAGCAAGAGCCCCAGGCTTCAGGCTTGGCTGCAAGTGGGGCCAGCGGGGTTCTGGCTTTGCACACAGAACCAGCAGATGCAGGAAGGGCTGAGCACCATGCAGGGGCTGGGGAAAGGCCACTCACCTGGGACCAGGCAGTGAGGAGTGCCGCGGCCATCTGCCGGTCTCTGGTCCTCCCCTCTCGGGAAAGCACCGGGATCCGGGGGGAAGGGAGGGCTGTGGAAGGAGAGGGGTCCTCAGGGTGACCAACTCATCCTGCTGGACCTGCTGCTACTCCAGCTGCCTCAAACTCCGCCCCTGGCCCGACCCAAGGACAGGTCAGATGGCTCTGAGGCTGCCATGGGGAGAACACGTCCTTTGCCAGCATGGAGACTCTCGGCCCCACCTGGACCTGGGCCGAGCCACCACCTCCCCATAGCTGCCTCCCTGGGAAAGCGCCTCTTCCCCATCCCTCTCCTACCTCCGCCAGGCAGGAAGAGAGCTTTCTCCTTAGAGCCGTGACTTAGGGGTGCCCAGCCCCAAGCACCTTGAGCCCCATCCTCCTGCGATGCCCCCTCGGGGTGTAGCTCTTCTGGCTCCGTCTTAATGTGCAATGACTCCTGAGCGTCCCCTGAAGGCACTGCCTCCCCCAGCTTAGAAAGCATTTCCTGATGAGAATGTCCACGATCTGGAATCTAGAGAGGACAGCCTCATCAGCACCCGGATGAGTGGGAGAGACACCCAGAGCTGCATGCCAGGGCGTTCCAGCAGGGTTGGACACCAACATGCAAGACACAGCTTGAAGGACTGTCCTTGCTGCCTCCATTGAGCTCACCCCAGCAAGGATGGGTGGCAAGAGGAGGAATATTCATCAAGCTGCTGCCACAGTGCCGGTGGGCGTGGTGCCCGAGGGCAGCTACCCCTTCTCAGCTCTGCCTCACACTGACCTCAGCAGTGTAAACTGTTGTTTATTAGTGTATGAGGAAAACAAGTGTAGTGGCTTGAATAGTGTCCTCTAAGAATCCATGTCCTCCCTGAACCTCAGAATGGGGCCTTATTGGGGAAAAGGGTCTTTATACAGGTAAGTTAAAGATCATGAGATTAAATCATCATGGATTTAGAGTGAGCCTAAAATCTAACAATGACTTATGTCCTTATAAGACTACGAGAGGACACGGAGACACAGAGAAGGAAGCAGAGACTGGAGGGATGCCCACATCAAGGACACCAGGAGCCCCCAGGAGCTGGAAGAGGCAAGAGAGAATCCTCTTAGTCTAGAGGTTTCAAAAGGAGTGTGACCCTTCCAACACGTAGATTTTGGACTTCAGTCCTCCAGAACTGTGAGAGAGCCAATTCTGGTTGTTTTCAGCCCCTGAGAGGGTGGAAACTTGTTACAGCAGCCACGGGAGACTAACACACCAGGGCTGGGGATGAGACACCCCATGACCACATAGCTCAAAAGTCAGGGAGGGCCCTGGTGGGGCCTCATCCACAGCACAGGGACTGGCTGGCCTTCTGCTGGGGACTCACACCCCTTCCTCCATGCCCTGTCTGTGTTTGGGTCTTGAAGAGAAAGAACCTCAGGCCATGAGTCAGGGTGCCTGGGTACCAGACACAGCGACACCCCTCCCCAACCAGGTAGCCTTCAGGACGCAGCTGCTCTGCCCCTGCACAGAGCGGTCATGAGGTTCACACAGATAATGATGGAGAAGGAGCTGCCGGCTCAGGAAAGTCCTGGATAAACACAGGGCAGTGCTGGTCATTATTCCCCTCCCTGAGCGCACCAGACAGAAGCCAGCGCCAGCAGAGAATGCCAAAGTGTGGGGCTCTACTGACACACACAAGGTGTTGAAGGTACACGGGAAGTGGATGGGAAACTGAACCATGCTAACAACTCTTTGTGCTTCTATGGTATGAAAACCATAGATGATGACGTCTCATGCCTATTATCCTTAGAACCTCCCCATGACCCTGCGAGACAGGTGGGAATGGCAGGCATGTGGTCTGGTTCCCAGAGGCCAGGGACTGGCCCCCAGCTTGTTGATGACTCACTCTCCTCCCACTCCAAGCCCGAAGACCCAGGTCCCCCACAAATAGTAATTACACACACACACTGGTAGCAGGTACAAGGAAGAGGAAGGACTGGGAGCTCGGACCCAGAGAGATGAGAAGCTGTGGTTACAGATGGAGAAGCACGGGGAAGGAGAACAGGTTTCCCTGTGTGCTCTGAGCACTGCTCAGAAAGAAAACCTCACCGATAGGACCCCCACCCAGACCCCTGCCATCTCTTGTGGCCACTGACTAGAGAATTCACCAGCAAAACAAAACTGTTATGCTGTAAATTCCAGACAGAGGGTGCTACCCAGCATGCCAGCTCTTCTTTGATCCCCCCACCCCAGTGAGTCTAACTCTTCCAGGGGTCCAGACTCCGTGCCTTGAAAATCTCCGCACCAGCCTCTTCCATCGCATGCCTCCCTCACCCAGCCCCATCTGTACCTCCGGGGGTGTCTCCTTGTCCTGGGCGGCCTGGATGCCTCCACCGTCTGCAGACATTTTCTATTTCCGAGCTAAAAAGAACAGCTAAGTTGTTTCTGCCTCTTTTTGTCCAAGCCCCCTCGAGCTTCTGGCCAGCAGCCTGGAAGAGCAGAGAGAAACCAGCCCTCGCTTCCTGGACACCTCCAAAGAGCCCTGAAAATCCCCACGAGGACCAGCGCTCCCTGTCCCAATCGGAAAGAAAGTCTCCCAGACCCTATCCAATGGTCCCACTCTCTGTGATGTTTTCTGGGTCCTATTTTTGAAAGAATGCTATTTTGTATTGTCCCCTTTATCGGTGAAGCAAGAGCCTCGCATCTCAGCGTAACCGGCTCAGGTAAAGCCGAGGCTAAATTGGAATTGCTATTTCCTGTCATCAGGAGCAGAAAGTTCTGCAGAGATCCTGCAAAACAGGTGCTGGTGGGGCCCCGCCCATCAAGGCCAGGGGCAACCAGGCCCTGCTGTCCCCGACCCCAGGACATGCACCGTGTCCCTACCTGACTCCCAGCCCCACCAGGAATTCAGAAATCAACCTGCCCGCTCTCAGCAGCCCCCTTGCAGCTGCAGCCACCTGCCCCAGGCCTGGAATGCCCATCCTCCTCTCGGTCCTGGCAAACAATGTCCTTCTCCTTCCCATACCCAGTCCTGGCCCCCTTCTCTCCTGCCAGCTTGAAGCCTTCCACCTTTGACCCCATCCCCTCCTGCAAGCTGATCATCTGCGCCGGTCTCAGGATCCAGATGACCTCCCTAGCACCCCCTTCTCACCAGGGTGGAGGCAGAGGGGGCACCTGCAGCAGCGGGAGCCCCCTCCCCCGGGAAGGGAGTCTCCACAGCCTGCACGGGGCGGGCGGGGGAGCCGGGTGGAGACTGGGATTAGGGACAACAGGAAGTCCCTCCCAGATCCCATTCCCCATGCAGCCGCAGCCCTACAGCGTTCCCAGTTTTGAGGGTTCCGGGTCTGGAGTCCCGAGCCTGGGTTGCACCTGCTCTTGGCCTGGAGGTGACTCCCAGAGCCTCAATGCCAGCTCGTGAGGATGGCTTTACCCAGCCCGCGTTCATGATGCCAGCAAGGCAGGGCCACCAAAACAGAAAAATGGAAGATAAATTTTGTGGAAAGATTGTGTTATTTGAAATTTCAAAGAGAGCGCTGCAGTCGTCCTCACAGGTAGAAAGAAGGGCATTTTGCAGGGTGGAGAGGGCAGGACCATTTATTTTAGCACTCGGGGTTTCTGAAGGTTGTTGTCTCCTGAGAGATCCTGAATTCATTTAAGGACTGCTAGTCAAGGGCCCTCTGGGTCCCCCCAAGACGGGCACAGAACTCTCTCCCTGAGTGAACGTGGGAAACAGGCTGGGGACTCCCCCCAACCCGGATGCCCCACAACTCGGGAAGAAGTTGTTAAATCTGATTCTTCCAGACCCATTTCAGCTTGGGGATAGAGGGTGTGATCCTGCTATAAATGGGGTCCTAAGTTCTCAAACACGCCTGGCAGCTGCAGATTCTGCCTTTCAGGCACCGTTTCCCTTTACACCCTGAGAAGTAAGGCCTCAAATGCAGAGGACAGAGACTGTGCTTTACTTTCTGGGGGAAGGAACCCTTTCTGCTGGGCAGGCATGGGGCAGGGTGTCAGGAAAAGGGCCAGGGACCTAGTCCTGGAATCAGATTCCAGGAAGGTTCCCTAGGAAACGCTCTCATGCCTGCTGCCTTTGGCTCACCAGAATCCCCTGAGATGCACAGCTTCACACAGTATGACAGGCACAGAGTTGCTCCTATACCAGCTCGCGATGTGTTGTGTGGGCTCTCAAGGGTTTGTTTATTTATTTTGTTATTTGAGACAGGGTCTCACTCTGTTACCGAGGCTGAAGTGCAGTGGCACAATCATAGCTCACTGTACCCTCAACCTCCTGGGCTCAAGTGATTGACCTCAGCCTCCCAAGTAGCTGGGGCCACAGGCGCCTACCACCATGCCTGGCTAATTATTTTTTTTGAGACAGAGTCTCGCTCTGTCGCCCAGGCTGGAGTGCAGTGGCACAATCTTGGCTCACTGCAAGCTCCGCCTCCCAGGTTCACGCCATTCTCCTGCCTCAGCCTCCTGAGTAGCTGGGACTACAGGCTCCCGCCACCACACCCGGCTAATTTTTGTATTTTTAGTAGAGACGCGGTTTTACCTCGTTAGCCAGGCAGGTCTCAATCTCCTGACCTCGTGATCTGCCTGCCTCGTCCTCCCAAAGTGCTGGGATTACAGGTGTGAGCCACCACATCCGGCCAATTTTTTTTTTTTTTTTTTTGAGACGGAGTCTTGCTCTGTCGCCCAGGCTGGAGTGCAGTGGCGCTATCTTGGCTCACTGCAAGCTCCGCCTCCCGGGTTTACGCCATTCTCCTGCCTCAGCCTCCCGAGTAGCTGGGACTACAGGCGCCCGCCACCTCGCCCGGCTAATTTTTTTTGTATTTTTAGTAGAGACAGGGTTTCATTGTGTTAGCCAGGATGGTCTCGATATCCTGACCTCGTGATCCGCCCGTCTCGGCCTCCCAAAGTGCTGGGATTACAGGCTTGAGCCACCGCGCCCGGCCTATCCGGCCAATTTTTAAAATTTTTTTGTGGAGATGGGGTTCTTGCTTTGTTACCCAGGCTGGTCTTGAACTCCTGATCTCAAGCAATCCTCCCACATCCCAAAGTACTGGCATTACAGGTGTGAGCCATCATGCCCAGAGGGTTTAATTTTTTTGTTTTTTGAAATGAAGTCTCGCTCTGTGGCCCAGACTGGAGTGCAATGGTGTGATCTTGGCTCACTGCAACCTCCGCCTCCCCAGTTCAAGTGATTCTCCTGCCTCAGCTTCCTGAGTATTTGAGATTACAGGTGTCCATCACCATGCCTGGCTAATTTTTGTATTTTTAGTAGAGACAGGGGTTTCACCATGTTGGCTAGGCTGGTCCCGAACTCCTGACCTCAAGTGATCCACCTGCCTCGGCTTCCCAACATGCTGGGATTATAGGCGTGAGCCACTGCGTCCAGCTAATTTCTTTTTAACTTAGTTTCTAACACGTACAAATTGAGACTCATAAAACTGATTCTTTTTTTTTTTTTTTTTTTTTTTTTAGACGGAGTTTCACTCTTCTTGCCCAGGCTGGAGTACAATGGCGCAATCTCAGCTCACCCCAACCTCTGCCTCCTGGGTTCAAGCGATTCTCCTGCCTCCGCCTCCTGAGTACCTGGGATTACAGGCATGTGCCACCACACCCGGCTAATTATGTATTTTTAGTGGAGATGGGGTTTCTCCATGTTGGTAGGCTGGTCTCGAAATCCTGACCTCAGGTGATTCCCCCACCTCAGCCTCCGAAAGTGCTGGGATTACAGGCGTGAGCCGCCATGCCCGGCCTATAAAATTGATTCTTTAAAAAAAAATTAGAACATTTACTGATGCTGGACCCGCCTTCCCCACCTTCAGGGTCCACTTTCTAGGTGGCCACAGTGCCTACTTGGCCCCTATAGCATTTGAGTTTGCAACTCTGCTTTTGGAGTTAAACATGTTTTAGGAGTCTTGGGATTCTGATTGATGCTATTGTCAATTTGATGAAAGAAAAATTACTCCTGGGGTTTGTGTCTGGTGTTTTCCAGGTGTTCTGTTTTTGGGATTTTGTTGTTGTTTTGTTTTTGTTTTTGTTTTTCTGAGACAGAATCTCGCTCTGTCACCTAGGCTGGAGTGCAATGGCACCATCTCAGCTCATTGCAACCTCCACCTCCCAGGTTCAAACAATTCTCCTGCCGCAGCCTCCCGAGTAGCTGGGATTATAGGAGTGTGCCACTGCGGCCAGCTAATTTTTGTATTTTTAGTAGAGACAGGGTTTCACCATGTTGGCCAGGCTGGTCTCAAACTCCTGGGCTCAAGCAATCCACCCACCTTGGCCTCCCAAAGTGCTGGGATTACAGGCTGAGCCACTGTGCCTGGCCAGGTGTTCTGTTTTTGTTTTTGATTTTTTAGAGATGTGGTCTTGCTATATCACCCAGGCTGGTCTCAGACTCCTGGTCTCAAGTGATTCTCTCGCCTTAGCCTGCTAAGTAGCTGGGACCACAAGTGCGAGCCACCACACCCGGCTTCTAGGTGTTTCAATCCTCAAGGCGAAGAGAGACATGCAACTTAGCAAGTCAGTACTGTATTCAAGCCAGAGTGAGCAATGAACTGAAAGCTGAAGTGGGGAGGAGTCCTGGAAATGATGACACTCTTCACTCTGCCAACCAAGAGGAGAGCTGAGTGTCCAGGGTCAGGGAATTTGTTTCTGAAAGGGACCCTTTCACCCCACACAGTCCCAGGAGTGCACCAAGCCCCCCAAAAGTGGATGTGTCGATGTGTCCTGACTCTTGGGCAGAAGTTTCTCTACCAGCAAAAGTGGACATTTTGGGATACTAGGGGAGTCCAAAGGTTTGGATCCCTCCATGGGATCACCTAAACTAGGTCAAATGAAGTCTGAGCATCTATTTAATTGTTCAAAGAATATTTATTGGACATCTACTATAAGGCAGACATTAACTTCTTCTTGAGAATGAGAGGTATTCCTTCCAAGGCTGGCTTTTGGATCTAGGCAGGTCTAGGAGAGAGGGTTACCACAGTTTCCATGTGGCAATAGCAGCCTCTAAAAGAGCTCCAAAAGGCGTCAGGGCAAGGTGAGTCAGTAAGCAGAGCAGACATTAAAAACTTAAATGGGGCCGGGTACAATGCCTCGTGCCTGTAATTCCAGCACTTTGGGAGGCCAAGATGAGTTGATGGCTTGAGCCCGGGAGTTCCAGACCAGCCTCAGCAACGTAACGAGACCCTAAATCGATTTATTTCTTTATTTATTCATTTAGAGACGGAGTTTTGCTCTGTCGCCCAGGCTGGAGTGCAGTGGCATGATCTCGGCTCACTGCAAGCTCCACCTCCCAGGTTCACGCCATTCTCCTGCCTCAGCCTCCCGAGTAGCTGGGACTACAGGCGCCAGCCACCTCGCCCGGCTAATTTTTTGTATTTTTTAGTAGAGATGGGGTTTCACCGTGTTAGCCAGGATGGTCTCGATCTCCTGACCTTGTGATCCGCCTGCCTCAGCCTCCCAAAGTGCTGGGATTACAGGCTTGAGCCACCCCGCCCAGCCCCCAACTCTGTTTAAAAACAAAAACTTAAATGCCTCCAGCCACCAGCTTATATAAGGGACCAATGGCTTGGGTGTAAGATGGGAGGGTGAAGGGACTTCAGAGGCCTTTGAGAAATCATTCTAGAAAAGCCAAGAAACCATTAGATTCCTCTGTGACTTCCTGACTTTTAAATTGATGAGAATTTTTTTTTTTTTTGAGACGGAGTCTCGCTCTATTGCCCAGGCTGGAGTGCAGTGGCCCGATCTCAGCTCACTGCAAGCTCTGCCTCCCAGGTTCATGCCATTCTCCTGCCTCAGCCTCCCAAGTAGCTGGGACTACAGGCGCCTGCCACCACGCCTGGCTAATTTTTTTGTATTTTTAGTAGAGACGGGGTTTCACCGTGTTAGCCAGGATGGTCTCGATCTCCTGACCTCGTGATCCGCCCGCCTCAGCCTCCCAAAGTGCTGGGATTACAGGCATGAGCCACCGCACGCGGCCGACGATGACAAAGTTTTAAAATTTAAGAATTCCATACAAGTCCAGCAGAACACACCTGCTGTCTGCATTCAACTCACAGGTCATCTGTGCAGGGACGTACTTACCTCTCAAGAATTGACTATAACTGGGGCTGGGCTCAAGAATTGACTATAACTGGGGCCGGGCACAGTGGCTCATGCCTGTAATCCCAGCACTTTGGGAGGTTGAGGCGGGCGGATCACCTGAGGTCAGGAGTTCGAGACCAGCCTGACCAAAACGGAGAAACCCCGTCTCTACTAAAACTACAAAAATTAGGCGGGCATGGTGGCACATGCCTGTAATCCCAGTTACTTGGGAGGCTGAGGCAGGAGAATTGCTTGAACCTGGGAGGCAGAGGTTGTGATGAGCCAAGATCACGCCACTGTACCCCAGCCTGGGCAACAAGAGCAAAACTCCGTCTCAAAAAAAAAAAATTGACTATAATGCACAAAGCCGCTTAGCAGAGCTTCGGGCATAGTAAATACTGAACAAATGCCAACTCCTGTAGCTGGCGGCTTCACTGACTCTGAGTAAGGAGAGGACTCCTCCTTTAGTAAATAAATGATGATCTACTCTCAGAGATCGACCTGACAGTTAAAAAAACTCCGTCTCAAAAAAAAATAAAAATAAAAATAAAAAAATAAAAGATGAGAATTCCCAGGGCCACCGGACACCAGGGCGTGAGAGCCTCCGGAGGCGGGGAGGCTACCCGGTCCCCGAAACCCAGGAGACCCAGGAGCCCCACGTGCATCTGTCCGCACAGCCCAGCTGGGCCGCACCGCCCAGCGACTCAGTTCACAGAACACAGACGCTGGAGCGAGTCGCCCAAGCAACGGCCCCGCCTCGCCCACGGGAGGCGCCGCTGATTGGCCGCATCCCCGTGGCCCCGCCCCCTCCCCTGCCCCCACCTCCCCGCCGCCCTCACCTGCGCGCTCTGGTCCGCGTCCCCGACAGGCAGCTCCACGGAGCGGGGAGGGTCACCCTAACGCGGCCGACCCCGGCCGGTGTCCCCGCGTTTTCCGTCCGGCTGCCCCATTGCAACTTCCGGCTTGCTGGGCCTTCTCGCGGCGCCCCACCTGTCCGGCCCGGGGCGCGGGGGCAATCCCCGCGTGGGCACCCCAGCCTGGAGTCGGCTTCCGCCCGTGGGGAAACTGAGGCTGCCTGGTCGAGGGCCTCCACGGGGGAGCGCCGAGGCCGCCTCCATGCCTGGGACCCGGGGGTCTTAAGAAGGAAGAGTCCAACCTCCGGGACTGGGATTCTGATCTATGAGGCGCCAACCCCCGCCAGGGCGCCCGGGTCCAGCCTCCCCGGCCGAGGGTTGGCCTCACACTCCCCTGCTTCGGGTGTTTGGTTTTGTTTCAAAAACGGGACTATACTATATGGTCTACCTGGGACTTGCCCCCTCTGTGTGGGTGATATATATCTTAGAGAATGTTCAACATAAAAAACATAGAGAAAAGGAGAAAAATAGGAGAAAAATGCAGCGTTGCCTTGCTTTTTTTTTTTTTTTTAAACTAGGGTGCATTCTCTTATATGGGTCTGTTACAGTTTCCTTAACCAGGCTTCTACTCACCACCCACGTCTTGACACCCTTGCCTTGCAGTAACAGGAAACACCCCAACAGCTACTACCGTGGAGCCTTGGTGGCTTTCTAGGAATGAACAGACATCTGAGCTTGCAAATAGGGCGGGAGTGGAGGCTATCCTCATACGCCCGCGGGAGTGTCCTCAGCCCCAGGATCCTGGCCTAAGCCTGGCTCACAAATCTCAGCCTGGGCAGCCTGCCTATCACAGTTGGGAAAACAGCCTATTCCTGTCTTGAACAAACCCCGGGAGGACAGGAAGAGCATCCCTAGGCAACAACACCAGGTGCTTCTCACTCTGTCGCCGAGGCTGGAGTGCAGTGGTGTGAGCTTGGTTTGCTGCAACCTCTGCCTCCTGGGTTCAAGTGATTCTCCAGCTTTGGCCTCCCTAGTAGCTAGAACTACAGGTGCACGCCACCATGCTGAGCTAATTTTTTGTATTTTTAGTAGAGACGGGATTTCACCATGTTCATCAGAATAGTCTCTAACTCCTGGCCTCAAGCGATCTGCCCACCTTGGTCTCCCAAAGTGCTGGAATTACAGGCGTGAGCCAGCACGCCCAGTCAGCACTTCTTTATTTGATTATCAGGCTTGTTAGCTTCAGGTAAGCTGTGAACTTCAGGACAAGAAAACCCCAAATACCCACATCCTAGTATCCAGTACAGTGTCTCTACCTGGGAGCTGAGACAGCTTACAGGATGGGCAGGCCGGAGACTTTTTATTGGAACTAAGTTCAATAGTCCCTCACGCAGGCTTTGGGGTTGGCCCTGTGGGTTGGAAATTAGGGTAAATTAAATTACTCTCCCTTTAGGGGTTGGTGGATTTTTAGGAAGCCGGGACTCTGTCATCATCTGAAAATGCCCATTTCTGATGCTACTGCCATTCCCTGTTACCTGATACTCAAAGCATCGCCCAGTGTTGGATGGAGTTTCGGCTGCATTCACTCATACATGAGCCAAAGTCGCTGAAGCCGGCAGGGATGGGAGCCTGTAGGAGCCACTCTGACCAGTGCGGCATTGGAGGAACCCTACTGGAGGCCCCTCACGGGAGCAGATGGCAAGGGCGCCCAGGTACCTGCCTTGCTGTCCTTTTACTTCCTATCCCCACCCCAGTCTTGAGATTCCCTCCTCTCCATTCTTTCCCACAAATCTCTATCATGTTCTTCTCACTCTCTTGAGTGTGAAAAATGTAGAATTTCCATGTTTTCATCTCATTCTTTTAAAAATTGTGTTTTTGTGGCCGGGTGCGGTGGCTCATGCCTGTGATCCCAGCACTTTGGGAGGCCAAGGAGAGCAGATCACCTGAGTTCAGGAGTTTGAGACCAGCCTGACCAACTGGAGAAACCCCATCTCTACTAAAAATATATATATAAAATACAAAATTAGCCAGGTGTGGTGGCGCATGCCTGTAATCCCAGCTACTCAGGAGGATGAGGCAGGAGAATCACTTGAACCCAGGAGGCAGAGGTTGCAGTGAGCCAAGATCACACCATTGCACTCCAGCCTGGGCAACAAGAGTGAAACTGCATCTCAAAAAAAAAACAAAAAATTCTGTTTTTGCGAATGCTTTATACTGTTTTGTTGTTGTTGTTGTTGTTTTAAGAAACCAATTAAGGATAAGAACCAGGGCTCCTTAGATAAATGGCCAGTTCTAGGACTCTGGTAAGAAATGTGAGATGAGGCCGGGCGCGGTGCCTCAAGCCTGTAATCCCAGCACTTTGGGAGGCCGAGACGGGCGGATCACGAGGTCAGGAGATCGAGACCATCCTGACTAACACAGTGAAACCCCGTCTCTATTAAAAATACAAAAAAACTTAGCCGGGCGAGGTGGCAGGCGCCTGTAGTCCCAGCTACTCGGGAGGCTGAGGCAGGAGAATGGCGTAAACCCGGGAGGCGGAGCTTGCAGTGAGCTGAGATCCGGCCACTGCACTCCAGCCTGGGTGACAGAGCGAGACTCCGTCTCAAAAAAAAAAAAAAAAAAAAAAGAAATGTGAGATGAGCCTGGAGAATCTAGTGGTACCAGGAAGGACAGGAATGCTAAACAAAACAAAAAAAAAGTTAGTGACAGGGCATGTTTTCATTTATTTTTATTTATTTATTTATTTATTTATTAATCATTATTATTATTTTGAAACGGAGTCTCATTCTGTCGCCCAGTCTGGAGTGCAGTAGTGCAGTCTCCAATCTCGGCTTACTGCAACCTCCGCCTCCCAGGTTCAAGTGATTCTACTGCCTCAGTCCCCCAAGTAGCTGGGATTATAGGTACCCACCACCATGCCCAGCTAATTTTTGTGTTTTTAGTAGAGATGGGGTTTCACCAGGTTGGCCAGGCTGGTCTCAAACTCCTGACCTTAGGTGATCCACCCGCCTCAGGCTCCCAATGTACTGGGATTACAGGCGTGAGCCACCGTGCCCAGACACCCAGCTAATTTTTCAAAAATTTTTGTAGTGACGAGGTCTCACTGTGTTGCTCAGGTTGATCTCAAACTCCTGGGCTCAAGCGATTTTCCCGCCTCTCAGAATGCTGGGATTACAGGTGTGGGCCACTATACCCAGACCTACTTCCTTCTTAATAATATATTTCTAAGTAATAACAGAATTGCCCAAATGAGCATCCTACAAGCAGTTGGCTCTGTGGAAACTCTGTTATGTCTCGGGGGTGCCCAGTGCCCTGGCTTTCCCTGCAGTACACAATTCTGCACTTGCAAAGGGGAGTGCCCCAAACAGGGAACTCTGCAGGTCTTGCTGGAATCAATATGTAAATACTAGAGAGCGATGTACTGCCACTCTTTAAGCAGTCATCTTGAAGATTGCTACTGGCAATAGAGCTTTCAGAGAGAATGACAAAGCAGAAAGTTCAAGGTCCTTTGAGAAGGAACTGACATGCAAATATTTTATGTTGTGCGTTTGTTTGTTTTTTCTTCTTAGAAACAGAGTCTTGATATTTGCTCAGTCTGGACTCCGACTTCTGGGCTCAAGTGAGCCAATGGCTCAGCCTCTCACGAAACTGGGACTACAGATGTGAGCCATTGCACCCAGCTTATCCTGGGAGTTATTCAGAATCATATGCTTTGGCACTACCTTGCAGTAAGAAAACTAAGGTGCTTAACCAGTTAGAAGGGCCTCGCTCCTTATAGGGGTTTCAGAGCAGGGCCAAGATGGTCCTGAACAAGCCATGCTGGGACCACCCCCAGGACAAACCGTGGAGGTAGGTTCAACACTCTCTCTCTCTTTTTTTGTGGCCTGTATAGGGACCAAAATACTTTCCCAGCGCTGTGCAGTCTTTGCAGCTGGGACATGGTTCTCTCTCTCTCTCTGTGTGTGTGTGTGTGTGTGTGTGTGTGTGTGTGTGTGTGTGTGTGTGTTTGAGACAGGGTCTGGCTCTGTCATCCAGACTGGAGTGCAGTGGTGTGATCATGGGTCACTGCAGCCTCAACCACCTGTGCTCAAGTGATAGTCCTGCCTCAGCCTCCTAAGTAGTTGGGACTACAGGCATGCACCACCATGTCCAGCTAATTTTAAAATATTTGTAGAGATCTCACTGTGTTGCCGAGGCTGGTCTCAAACTCCTAGGCTCAAGTGATCTTTCAACCTCAGCCTCCCAAAGTGCTGGGATTAGAGGTGTGAGCCACTGCACTGGCCTGGACTGTGGTTCTAAGTGCTCACCCTCCCAAATCCCAAATCAACAAAAATTCTACTGACTGGGAGTGACCTACCTTCTGGGCAGGTCTTTTTTTTTTTTGAGACAGAGTCTCGTTCTGTCACCAGGCTGGAGTGCAATGGTGCCATCTCAGCTCACTACTATCTCCGCCTCCTGGGTTCAAGCAATTCTCCTGCCTCAGCCTCCCGAGCAGCTGTGACTACAGGCGCCCGCCACCACGCCCAGCTAATTTTTGTATTTTTAATAGAGACAGGGGTTTCACCATGTTGGCCAGGCTGGTCTTGAACTCCTGGCCTCAGGTCATCCACCTGCCTTGGCCTCTCAAAGTGCTGGGATTACAAGAGTGAGCCACCGTGCCCGACCTTGCAGGGCCTTTAAAATAATAAATTTGCTGCAAATCAAGCTGCCTCGGCTCATTTTCTCCCTTCCCCGGTGTCCCCTGGGGCTCCTTCCTCATTTCCCATCTCCCCTTCTTCCTTGCAGAGGTTTTGGACTCCTAATTATTTCAGCAAGCAGCTGTGTTCTCCTAAGAGACCCCAATGCCCTGCACTTCGCCTATTGTTATTCTTCCTCCGCCCTCCAGCAGCCACAATAGTCTTTCTCCGCAGGAAACACCACAACTCTGAGGTCCCAGAACCGCCCCAAAGCCACAGATGGCTATTGAGTGCTTTAAATGGGGCGAGGCGGAGCTCAGATGTGCTCTCACTGTAAAATGCACACTGGATTTTGAAGACTTTTATGAGAAAAAAGAATGTGCAGCAAGTCATTAACAATTTTCTGTGTTTGTTGAAATAATAACATTTTGGATATAACGAGTTAACTAAATCGTATTATTAAAATTAATTGCTGGCCAGGCGCGGTGGCTCAGGCCTGTAATCCCGGCACTTTGGGAGGCCGGGGCAGGCGGATCAACTGAGGTTGGGAGTTCGCGACCAGCCTGACCAATATGGAGAAACCCCTGTCTCTACTAAAAATACAAAATTAGTCAGGTGTGGTGGTGCATGCCTGTAATCCCAGCTACTCAGGAGGCTGAGGCAGGAGAATTGCTTGAACCCAGGAGGTGGAGGTTGTGGTGAGCCGAGATCAGGCCATCGCACTCCAGCCTGGGCAACAGGAGCGAAAATCCGTCTCTCAAAAAAAAAAAAAAAAATTAATCGCACCTGTTTCCTTTTACCTCTTTAATTGTGGCTACCAGAAAATTTAAAATTGCGGCTGTGGGTGGCACCACACTTCTCTTGGAGGACACTACTCCAAAGGTTCCCCCTCCCACTCGGCACACTTCACCCCAACCCTGTAGGGACCACACTCTCTTTAGCGCCCCCTAGTTTCAGGTACGGATTCATACACGTTTATTATCTTTAAGGTCTCAGTGCTGTTGCAAACCTTCTCTTCTGCAACCCTCTCCTGCAATTCATCTGGCAGGTAGGATCATCGTTCATGCATTACAGAGGAGGCAGTGATGGTTTTCATATGAAAAGTGAGTTCGCCAAGGACACATGCAGCAGGGCTGTGGAGGGCCTAGGGCTAGAAGCTCAGTCTGTCTCCTTTTACATCCCTCGTTTATTTCCAGAGCTGTTCCTACACCTGAAAAGCACCACTCCCCCTGCACACCCTGGCAGATGACCAGATTAGATGTCACTGGCAGCCTGAACGTCAACAGACACCCAGCATCTTTCTGAAGCAACCATAAGCCATTCGAGGAAACATGCACAGGGTCCTGCTTGTCCTGGTCTTGTCCCCAGTGCCCAGGGCAGTGAGAGCAGCTCTGCCCGGAGGCCAGTCCCTGAGGCTCCCTCAGTGGCCTCAGAACTTGGAGTATACACGTGCAGTCCTTACCTCCCAAAGATAAAACCTCCCACTTTGCTCTTCACCTATTTCAGACTGCTGTCCCATATATGGTCACCAGAGACATATGAGAACAACTACAGATAGCCCCAAACTGAAAACTGCCCACTGTCTACCCATAGTAGAATGAATAACTGATGTAATGAGGAAAATCATTCAGCAATGAGAGGGAAAGAACGCTCGATGGCATGGAGTCCCAGCTGTAGTCCCAGCTCCTTGGTAGACCAAGGTGGGAGGATCACTTGAACCCAGGAGTTTGAGTCCAGCCTGGGAGATATAGCAAGACCTTGTCTCTAACAAAATAAAATAAAATAAAATAAGTGGAATTGAGAGAATTACAATTTTAAAAGAAACAAAAATTTTTAGTAGAGATGGGGTTTCACCATGTTGTCCAGGCGAGTCTTGAACTCCTGACCTCAGTTGATCAAAGAGGCTGAGTGCAGTGGCTCATGCCTGTAATCCCAGCACTTTGGGAGGCCAAGGCAGGTGGATCACCTGAGGTCAGGAGTTCAAGACTAGCCTGGCCAACATGGTGAAACCCCATCTCTACAAAACATACAAAAAAAAAAAAAAAAAAAAATTAACCGGGTGTGATGAGAGAGTCTCCACGCCTCTCGCTTCCCAGCCTCTAGTGGTTGCCTGGTCCCGCCAAGGCCACACCCGCTCCGGCGCTACAGCACCCCACCCCGCCCCGGACACGCCCCCTCCTGCCCTACAGAACCCCGCCGCGCCCCTTGGCCTTCGGGCCCACTTCCCTGGGGGCGGGTTTTTCTGGCCCTGCCATTGGACAAATTATGGTGTGGGAGGAGCCCGCGACTGGAAGCGCGAGGCGCTGGACGCGGGGAATGCAGAGCAGACCAAGGAGAAAGACCGTCGTGCGCAGGGAGCACTAGACAACTGAAATAAGAACAGGATGAGCTCAGATGTTAAGTGCAGGAAAACAAAGACCCGGCAGATGAGCCAGTCAGGCGGGTCCAGGCCCCAACAGACCGAGGGGTCTAGGCCGGGGAAACGGCCAACACCTGAGAGGTGGTCCTGACTCCCCGCGGGCTCTGAACGCTCAGTAAGGCACGAGCTGCAGCCAAGGGCACAACCCAAGAAGGCACTTTAAGCACAGGGAAGGAATTGGTTTGGGCCCAAACGCTGTTGGTGAGGTCACTTCCCTCCTGGGGAGCCCTTGCTTCGTCATCGGTAAAGGTGGGACAAAACCACCTGGCAGGACTCGGAGGACTTTAGGTGACCGTGTAGATGGAGCAGCCTCTGCCCCACCACATCCTCCTGTTCCATTTTTTCCTAGCACCGTCGCTGCTCCTTTGCCTTAAAATGTAAGACCCTGAGAGCAGGGCCTTATTCCTCCAGTTTCTCTCTGGGTCCTTAGCCCCTGCTTTGTAACAGTGCCTGGCACACAGGAGGCCATTGCAAAGAGTAGTCACGTGAATGAAAAGCCTAGCAAAGAAACCAGCACACTGGGCATTTAAAAATGGCAGCTCTTAGCCCAAAAGAAAGATGGGCAGACCTGCAAGGGGCACCAGGCCAGTCTTCATTTGGGAGGTGGTAGTTCTGGCTTGGGGGATGGTTACACTCTCACACATGCTGGGATTGAAATCTGGATTTCTCACTTTGTCTTCATGTCCCTGGCCCCGCCCTCTTCCCATCCCGCTCCCAAACTGGGAGCTTAAGGGTTAACTCTAGAAAGCCCCTCATCACCTGGATGGGATGGGACTGGGGCAAGGAACTTCCTGTTCCATTTTCCCAGAGCCCTTCCCTAGGCTGGCGGAGGCTGGCTTTGGCCCTGGAGTCCTCAGAGAACCCCCCTAGCATCTCTGCCTGTGTAGTGGGGACTCGGAGTGGTGAGTTGGAGGGAGGCCGGGGTGCAGGCTGCCAGAATGGGTGCTAGGAGTTCACAGCAGCTTGGAGAGAGCAGGGGAGGCTGCAGGCCTTGGTGCTGGGGTGGGGGCTGGAAGAGCCTTGGGAGGATGTAGAGGGTCTGCTGGGGAGCCTTGTGTCAGCCAGCTTGGTGGACCTGTTGCGATGGGGGCGTTGGGGAGGAGGGAGATCGCAGAACTTCCTGTGACATTGAAGAAGGCTGGCTTCACATGCTCCCAGGTGGACTGATGGGCCTTGTCCACTCAGCCCAGCACACAGAGGGAAGCCCACCAACAAACAACAAATCAGGCAGCTGCCAACTGTGTCCAGGGAGAAAGGGGGTGTTCCTGGCCGCGGACCCCACCTTTGCCCCCTTCCCCAACTCTGGGCTCTCACATGACCTGGATGGGTCTCGTGGCAGCACCTCCACTCTGGGCTCCAAATTAAGCTGGTCAAATGTTGGATGGTGGCTGTAGAGCCTCCGCCTGCTTCCCTACCCAGCCCACCCCCAACAGAGGTGCATATTAACAGAGCTTTTGTCCTGGATATCTGGGGGGAGGGAGAAATTCTCTGAAGCCAACTTGTCTCGAATTCCACCTCTTTGAAACCTTTTGGAGAGACCTCACCTGGAGATTCCGGCCTCCCTGTGTGGCTCGGCCTGAGGGCTGAAATTTGGAATCCTCTTATTTTTTTTCTGTTTCATGCTGTGATATTTCGGTTAAGGCTAGGAAAATGGCACAGAGCAGGTGGAGATCAGTTCCTTTTCTGTTTGAGAGCTTTGGCACTGTGTTCTAGACCTGCGTTCTCAGCCTAAAGCAAATCTTGGCTCCATCTTGTGTGACCCTGAGCACGTCACCAAGTGCAACTTTGCACTTCGCAAAGGGAGAAATGATTATTTAGTGCATGGGCTGGACCGGGATGAAATGAGCCTAATCGCTGGACGCTCAGTACCTGCCCGCTTCTCCTGCAGGGCAGTGGATGAGCAGTGATTGGTTTTCTTGTTATTTTGTGCATGCTACTAAAAACCAGTGAAACACAATCCCATTTTCTCTCCCCTCCCCCTCACTTTTTTTTCTTTTCTTTTTTTTTTTTTTTTTTTTGAGACAGGGTCTTCCCCTTTTATCCAGGCTGGTGTGCAGTGGCGCGAACATGTCTCACTATAGCTTTGACCTCCCGGGTTCAAGCGATCCTTCTGCCTCGGTCACCCAAAATGCTGGGATTATAGGCATGAGCCACCGCATCCGGCCTCACAACACCATTTTTCTGATCATTTATCACAGACCTTTTCTGCCCTAGACGTTGTTATGTGCTTTCCTTTGAGATGGCCAGAATCATTGCCATTTCCTAATTTCTGCTAATAGACATTGAAGTAACTTCAAGTGCTGGATGAACACTCGTTGAACTAGTCACAGCTCCTACTCCCAGGCCAGGCAGAGAAATACACTCATCTGTGATTGAGGCACTGCATCGCCCTAGTGCGGAGAGACGGGTTGAGGGGGATGGGGGCTGCCTGGAGTGGATGCCAGAGGTCAGGAAAGCATAGTTCTGGCTCGGGGGTTGTTACACTCTCACACGTGCAGGGGTTGAAATCTGAATTTCTCACTTTGTCTTCATTTATCTGGCCCCACCCTGTCCCCATCCGGCTCCCAAACTGGGAGCTTAAGGGTTAACGCTAGGAAGCATCTCACCACCTGGATGGGATGGGACTGGGGCAGGGAACTTCCCAGTTTTGTCGGAGTCCTTCCCCAGGTAGCTGAGGTTGGGAGATGGAGGGAAGATGGAGTAGGGGTGAGGGGCTTGGAAGATACCGTGTGTTTCGGGGAGGTTGGGAGAGATGGGTCATGTTCTAGCATCACCTCCCCCTCCTTCTCAGCGGCTAAGCTTAAAATCCCCCATTCTGTACCACAACACACACCCCACCTGAGAAGGAGGTTCAGAGAACCCTCAGGCTCATATTAAGTGGGTACACCGAACTGGCCAAGGCTCTCAACTAGGCCATTGTTACCAGGGAGAGGCTGCTCAAGGCTGGGTTACCTTTTTTTTTTTTTTTTTTTTGAGACAGAGTCTCATTCTATCGCCCAGGCTGGAGTGTAGTGGTGCAACCTCAGCTCACTGCAACCTCTGCCTCCTAGGTTCAAGCGATTCTCCTGCCTCAGTCTCCCGAGCAGCTGGGACCACAGATGCATGCCACCATGCCCGGATAATTTTTTTTTTTTTGAGATGGAGTCTCACTCTGTCGCCCAGGCTGGAGTGCAGCGGCATGATCTTGGCTTACTGCAACCTCCGCCTCCGAGGTTCAAGCAATTCTCCTCTCTCAGCCTCCTGAGTAGCTGGGGCTACAGGTGCATGCCACCACATCCAGCTAATTTTTGTAATTTTAGCAGAGACAAGGGTTTCACCATATTGGTCAGGCTGGTCTCGAACTCCTGACCTCAGGTGATCCACCCACCTCAGCCACCCACAGTGCTGGGATTACAGGCCTGAGTCACTGCACCCGGCCACTGGGTTACCTTTTTGCTGAGCCTTAGTGTCCTCGGCTGTAGAATGGGTGATGGGTCCAACAGAACTATGAGTCACTGCTGCGGTGCCTGGTGTTGTAATCAGCAGCAATGAGAACAGTAATAGCTCGTGCTCATGGATGCCTACTGTGTGCCAGCCACTATGTGCTGGACAGTGCCCTGTGCCACTCAGGTGGGGGGAGTGGTGCTTCAGGCTTTCTTCACATCCCCCTACCTGGGGTGCCAACTGGGAGTGGAGAGTGGGAGGCTCTAGGAGAGGTTCCCTTGTGTAGCCCTGAGGCTAGAGAACAGGAAGAGCAGAAAGCAGAGGGCAGGAGCCTGGGTTTCCATGTCTATAAAATGACCCCTGTCTGAAATAAAATGTAAAAAGTGCCTCAGAGATCTAACAAAAATACGAGCCTGCTCCGCTCAGAAAAGCTTCAGTCATCCAGCCTCAATTAGTTGAGCAGGACTGAACTGAATCCCCTGTGGGTGGCACTGGGCTACCAGACCAGGAAGGAGAAGCCCCACAGTCCTAGACTTGGGAGGAGGTTGGGGGAGGTTGTCAGTGCCCCCTGGTGGCGATAAATGACTTATTTTACATTTTTTATTTTTTGAGACAGGAGCTCACACTGTCGCCTAGGCTGGAGTACAGTGTTGCAGTCACAACTCACTCACCGCAGCCTCAACCTCCTGGGATCAAGCAATCTTGCCACCTCAGCCTTCCAAGTAGCTAGGACCACAGGTATACACAACCATGACTGGTTACTTTTTTTTTTTTTTTTGAGACGGAGTCTGGCTCTGTCACCCAAGCTGGGGTGCAGTGGCGCGATCTCGGCTCACTGCAAGCTCCACCTCCTGGATTCACACCATTCTCCTGCCTCAGCCTCCCGAGTAGCTGGGACCACAGGCACCCACCACCACACCTGGCTAATTTTTTGTATTTTTAGTAGAGACGGGGTTTCACCGTGTTAACCAGAATGATCTCAATCTCCTGACCTTGCGATCCACCCTTCTCGGCCTCCCAAAGTGCTGGGATTATAGGCAAGAGCCACTGTGCCTGGTAAGCTAAATTTTTAATTTTTTTTTTTTTTTGAGAGGGAGTCTCGCTGTGTCGCCCCGGCTGGAGTGCAATGGCATGATCTCGGCTTACCGCAAGCTCCACCTTCTGGGTTCACGCCACTCTCCTGCCTCAGCCTCCCGAGTAGCTGGAACTACAGGCACCCGCCACCACCCCTAGCTAATTTTTTTTTTTTTTTTTTTTTTTTTTTGAGACGGAGTCTCGCTCTGTCACCCAGGCTGGAGTGCTGTGGCCGGATCTCAGCTCACTGCAAGCTCCGCCTCCCGGGTTCACGCCATTCTCCTGCCTCAGCCTCCTGAGTAGCTGGGCCTACAGGCGCCCGCCACCTCACCCGGCTAGTTTTTTTGTATTTTTTAGTAGAGACAGGGTTTCACCGTGTTAGCCAGGATGGTCTCGATCTCCTGACCTCGTGATCCGCCCGTCTCGGCCTCCCAAAGTGCTGGGATTACAGGCTTGAGCCACCGCGCCCGGCCTAATTTTTTGTATTTTTAGTAGAGACGGGGTTTCACAATGTTAGCCAGGATGGTCTCGATCTCCTTACCTTGTGATCTGCTTGCCTCGGCCTCCCACAGTGCTGGGATTAACAGATGTGAGCCACTGCACCCAGCCCTACATTTTTAATTTTTTTAGAGATGGGGGTCTTGCCATGTTGCCCAGGGCTGGCCTTGAACTCCTGAGGCTCAAGTGATCCTCCTGCCTAGGCCTCCCAAAGTGCTGGGGTAACAGGCGTGACCCCAGCCCCTCTAACCTTTTATTCTGAAAATTTGAAAACATCCAGAGAACTTGAAAGAGCAGTGAAATGAACATTAATATATGTATCTCATCGTCAGTCCATAAATGTGGCTGAGCCTTCAGGCCCCTTCTCCAAACTCTTCAGCGTATCCTAAGAACACAGCCATTTCCTATATATTGCAAGACTAGACTCTCATCTCAGAAATGGGTAGTCATACTATTATCGTCTAGTATCCATCCCCACCATACTCAAAATTTTCCAACTGGCCCCAGGATGTCTTTTAAAGCCTTTAAAAAAAAGGAATGAGGATCCAATTTAGGTTCACCCACTTGGTTGTGAGGCTTCTTTGGGCTACTCTCCAATAGCGCCTCCTACAAGCACTTACTTTTTATGACACTGAGTAACTCAGGCCAATTTCTTTGAGAGATGGTCTGACTTGTTCCATATTCCCTGCAAGGCCCTAAACATTGGAAGTTGGATCTAAAGGCCACAGTTAGGCCGGGCAGGGTGGTTCACGCCTGTAATCCCAGTACTTTGGGAGACCAAAGCGGGCGGATCACCTGAGGTCAAGAGTTCGAGACCACCCTGGCCAACATGGTGACACCCCATCTCTACTAAAAATACAAAATTAGTGGGGTGTGGTGGCGCATACCTGTAATCCCAGCTACTTGGGAAGCTGAGGGACGAGAATCACTGGAACCCGGGAGGCGGAGGTTGCAGTGAGCCGAGATCTTGCCGTTGCACTCCAGCCTGGGCAACAAGAGTGAAATTCTATCTCAAATAAATAAATAAATAAAGGCCAGTTGGATTGAGATTAGGCATTTTTGGGCTAGGCACAGTGGCTCACACCTGTAATCCCAACACTTTGAGAGGCTGAGGCAGGTGGATCACTTGAGCCCAGGCGTTTGAGACCAGCCTGGGCAACATAATGAGACCTCATCTCAACAAAAAATAAATAAAATTAGCCCAGCGTGGTGATATGCACCTGTAGTCCCAGCTGCTCGGGAGGCTGAGGCAGGAGGATCACTTGAGCCCAGGAGATCAAGGCTGCAGTGAGCCGTGATTGCGCCACTGCACTACAACCTCGGTGACAGAGTGAGACCCTGTCTTAAAAAAGTAAATAAATTACTTAATTAAATTAAAAATTAAATAAACAGGCTTGGTGCCAGTGGTTCACACCTTAATCCCAGCGCTTTGGGAGACTGAGGCGGGCTGATCACTTGAGGTCAGGAGTTCAAGACCAGCCTGGCCAACATGGTGAAACCGTTGTGTCTACTAAAAATGCAAAAATTAGCTGGGCGTGGTGCCACAGGCCTGTAATCCCAGTTACTGTAAACCCAGGCTGAGGAACGAGAATCGCTTGAACCTGGAAGGTGGAGGCTGCAGTGAGCTGAGATGCCACTGCACTCCAGTCTGGGTGATATAGCAAGACTCCATATCAAAAAAAAAAAAAAAAAAAAAAGCTGTAAAAAACAAACATTTTTGGTGCCACGTGCTCCCAGTGGCTACATCAGGAAGAAGGGAAGGGCAGGTTGTTTCTCTTTCAGGGATGGTCACTTTAGTCACTTGGGAAAAGTGATGCAAATTTCTCTTTTTTTTTTTTTTTTGAGACAGAGTCTCACTGTGTCGCCCAGGCTGGAGTGCAGTGGCACGATCTCAGCTCACTACAAGCTCCACCTCCCTGGTTCACGCCATTCTCCTGCTTCAGCCTCCCAAATAGCTGAGACTACAGGCACCCGCCACCAGGCCCGGCTAATTTTTTTTGTATTTTTAGTAGAGACAGGGTTTCACTGTGTTAGCCAGGATGGTCTCGATCTCCTGACCTCGTGATCCGCCTGCCTCGGCCTCCCAAAGTGCTGGGATTACAGGCGTGAGCCACCATGCCCGGCCTTTTTTTTTTTTGTTTTGAGACAGAGTCTAGCTCTGTTGTTCAGGCCGGAGTGCAGTGGCGTGATCTCGGTTCACTGCAAGCTCCACCTCCTGGGTTCCCGCCATTCTCCTGCCTCAGCCTCCCCAGCAGCTGGGACTAAATTAGCTCCGCTAATTGTTTTGTATTTTTAGTAGAGACGGGGTTTCACCGTGTTGGCCAGGAAGGTCTCGATCTCCTGACCTTGTGATCCGCCCGCCTCGGCCTCCCGAAGTGCTGGGATTACAGGTGTGAGCCACTGCGCCCAGCCAAGTGATGCAAATTTCTAAATGCTTTAAGGAGGGATGATAATACAGAACTGTCAGTTTTCTCTGGCCTTTGCTTTGTTGGTAACCCTGAGACCGGGCGCTGCCCTGCCCTCATGAGCCATTACCCAGTGAGTAAAACTCTTCCTCTGGGTCTGCGTATTGAGTGTCTTTTAACATGGATGACCTAGGTGTGCGGCCAGCTTCCTCTCAGCAGATCCTAACCCAGGGTGTTCACCTTCGCAGGTGTGGGAAGAGAGGAGAGAGACCTGAGAGTGGGGCCGGCTGTAGGGAGGCATCCCCACAGTGAAGGATGCTTGAAGAATCAATCTTGGCTGCCCTGGAGCAGGAGCAGCTGGGGGAAGTCAAGTTGGAGGAGGAGGAGGCTGCCAGCCCAGAGGACCCCAGGCGGCCAGAGTCCAGGCTGAGGCCCGAGGTGGCTCACCAGCTGTTCAGATGCTTCCAGTATCAGGAGGACATGGGGCCACGGGCATCCCTGAGCCGGCTCCGGGAGCTCTGCGGCCACTGGCTACGGCCGGCTCTGCACACCAAGAAGCAGATCCTGGAGCTGCTGGTGCTGGAGCAGTTCCTGAGTGTGCTGCCTCCGCACCTCCTGGGCCGCCTGCAGGGGCAGCCACTCAGGGATGGGGAGGAGGTGGTGCTGCTGCTGGAGGGCATCCACCGGGAGCCCAGCCACACGGGGCCGCTGGTGAGAGGGTGGGGCAGTGGACTGAGCAGTATACAGATGATGGGGACTTGATTGCCCCAGTGAACAATCTCTGGAAACTCCACTTTCCCCCACCTGACCATTCCTTCTTCACCTCTTAACTCCTGCCCTGTCTGACTCTCACCTCGTTTCTGTCCCATGTCCCCTCAGAGTCAGAAGGACACAGGCTGCCACCCCGGGAGTCACTTAACTTGAATGTGTTTTGAACAGGATTTTAGTTGTAATGCTGGCAAGAGTTGTCCCCGAGCAGACGTCACCTTGGAGGAAAAGGGGTGTGCTTCCCAGGTCCCCAGCCACAGCCCCAAGAAGGAATTGCCTGCAGAAGAACCTTCAGTGCTGGGCCCATCGGATGAGCCTCCCCCACTCCAGCCAAGGCCTGCCAAGCCTGCTGAGCTGGGACATTGGAGACTTCCCCCAAGTTCAAAGCAGCCACTGAGCCCGGGGCCCCAGAAGACATTCCAGGCCCTGCAAGAAAGCAGTGAGGAGCCTGTGCCCTAGGAGGCCAAGGACTGGGTGTTGGGGAGCGGCCTGGATGTCTGGGGTGGGGTGAGAAGTGGGGCCTCCCCAGGTGACCGGGACAGGAGAGCGCCAAGGTGTCTTCACAGGGCCCCGATGATGTGGTGCATGTCCTTGCAGCCACATGGCAGGCAGGGCTGCCTTCTAACAGTGCTTCCTCCCCTGTTCCCCAATGCTGTCAGGCCCCCAGGGCCCCTCACCATGGCCAGAGGAGAGTTCCGGAGATCAGGAGCTGGCGGCTGTGCTGGTGAGCTGGGCCACACCCCAGGGTGTTCTCAAGCCCCAGGAACTTCTCTACCACTGTAGTTTTAGCAAATCCATACCTTCCCTGATTCAGTCCTGGGAAGTGTTTCATTCCCCACAGGTTCCTGAGGCATGATCCTCTCTCACCAAGGGTTTCTGCTCTTGATACAGGAGTCCCTGACCTTTGAGGATGTGCCAGAGAATAAGGCGTGGCCTGCACACCCCCTGGGTAAGCAACCCTTCCCTGGAGTAGTGACCACTGATGCCTCTTTCTTTTCTTTTTCTTTTCTTGTCTTTTTTTTTTTAAGAGATGGAGTCTCGCAGTGTTGCCCAGGCTAGTCTCAACTCCCGGGCTCAAGCAATCCTCCCATCTTGGCCTCCCAAAATACTAGGATTACAGGCGCGAGCCACCGTGACCGGCCAACACCGTTTCTTTGCCTGAAGTTCCAGACCCTACCTGACTTTTTGGCCTTTTTGTTTTTTGAAACAGGATGTTACTCGCCCAGACTGTGGCACAATCATGGCTCACTGCAGCCGGGAACTCCTGGGCTCAGGTAATCCTCCCACCTCAGCCTCCCGAGTAGCTGGGACTACAGGTGTGTGCCACCATGCCCAGCTAACTTTTTGTTTTGAGGTCAAATAAAGGGGCACCCTTGTTTGACCTCTATCCTCTCTACCCACCTACCAGGTTTTTTTGTTTGTTTGTTTGTTTGTTTGTTTTGAGACGGAGTCTCTCTCTGTTGCCTAGGCTGGAGTGCAGTGGCACCATCTCGGCTCACTGCAACCTCCGCCTCCCGGCTTCAAGTGATTCTCTTGCCTCAGCCTCCCGAGTGGCTGGGACCACAGGCGCACGCCACTACACCCAGCTAATTTTTTATTTTTTGTAGAGACGAGGCTTCACCATGTTGGCCGGGCTGGTCTCGAACTCACTCCTGACTTCAAGTGATCCACCCGCCTCGGCCTCCCATAGTGCTGAAATTACAGGCGTGAACCACCGTGCCTGGCCTTTCACCTACCAGCTTTGCAGGATCCTGGGTTTCTTTCCACTTCCAGGCCAATCAGGTTCTGGTGATTGATAGGGGCCCTGGGAATAGGCCTGACCATCTCTGTTTTCTCTTGTTTCCCAGGATTTGGAAGCAGAACCCCAGACAAGGAGGAATTTAAACAAGAAGAGCCCAAAGGGGCTGCCTGGCCCACTGCCATCTTAGCAGAGTCTCAAACAGATAGTCCTGGGGTGCCGGGAGAGCCTTGCGTCCAGACGCTCGGACGGGGCGCTGCGGCGAGTGGCCCTGGTGGAGATGGGTCCCTTCTTGGCGGCAGTGAAATTTTGGAGGTCAAAGTGGCTGAGGGCGTCCCCGAGCCCAATCCGGAGCTGCAGTTCATCTGCGCAGACTGCGGGGTGAGCTTCCCGCAGCTGTCTCGCCTGAAGGCGCACCAGCTGCACTCGCACCCGGCCGGGCGCTCCTTTCTGTGCCTTTGCTGTGGGAAGAGCTTCGGCCGCAGCTCCATTCTCAAGCTGCACATGCGCACTCACACGGACGAGCGGCCGCACGCCTGCCACCTGTGTGGCCACCGCTTCCGCCAGAGCTCGCACCTGAGCAAGCACCTACTGACCCACTCCTCCGAGCCGGCCTTCCTGTGCGCCGAGTGCGGCCGCGGCTTCCAGCGCCGCGCCAGCCTTGTGCAGCACCTGCTGGCGCACGCCCAGGACCAGAAGCCTCCCTGCGCTCCTGAGAGCAAGGCCGAAGCGCCACCGCTGACCGAAGTCCTGTGCTCCCACTGCGGCCAGACCTTCCAGCGCCGCTCCAGCCTTAAGCGCCACTTGCGGATCCACGCCAGGGACAAGGACCACCGGTCCTCCGAAGGCTCCGGCAGCCGCCGCCGGGACTCTGACCGGAGGCCCTTCGTGTGCAGCGACTGCGGCAAGGCCTTCCGGCGCAGCGAGCACCTGGTGGCCCACCGGAGGGTGCACACAGGCGAGCGGCCCTTCTCCTGCCAGGCCTGCGGCCGCAGCTTCACGCAGAGCTCGCAGCTGGTCAGCCACCAACGGGTGCACACGGGCGAGAAGCCCTACGCCTGTCCGCAGTGTGGGAAGCGCTTCGTGCGCCGGGCCAGCCTTGCCCGCCACCTGCTGACCCACGGTGGCCCTCGGCCCCACCTCTGCACCCAGTGCGGGAAGAGTTTCGGCCAGACCCAGGATCTAGCCCGCCACCAGCGCAGCCACACTGGCGAGAAACCCTGCCGCTGTAGCGAGTGCGGCGAGGGCTTCAGCCAGAGCGCCCACCTGGCGCGCCACCAGCGCATCCACACAGGGGAAAAGCCCCACGCCTGCGACACCTGCGGCCACCGTTTCCGCAATAGCTCCAACCTGGCCCGCCACCGCCGCAGCCACACGGGCGAGCGGCCCTACAGCTGTCAGACGTGCGGTCGCAGCTTCCGGCGCAACGCGCATCTGCGGCGGCACCTGGCTACCCATGTGGAGCCAGGGCAGGAGCAGGCCGAGCCCCCGCAGGAGTGCGTGGAGTGTGGCAAGAGCTTCAGCCGCAGCTGCAATCTGCTGCGACACCTGCTGGTGCACACGGGCGCCAGGCCCTACTCCTGCACGCAATGTGGCCGCAGCTTCAGCCGCAACTCCCACCTGCTGCGCCACCTGCGCACCCACGCCCGCGAGACGCTATACTAGCTTGGCCCGCCTTCCGCCAGCCGTGCCCTGCGCCACCTACCCGGGGTCCTCCACAGCGGAGGCCTGCAGGAATGTCCTTTCCTACCACACCCCACTTCCCTCTCCTTCCACTTTCATGGCTGTCCTTCCCTGCCCGAGGCATTGCTTTCCGGCCTCAGCAATGTAATTAAAACGCCCGAAGTAAAATGGCCTTCTCCAAAATGGCCCCTCTTTATTTCTTTACAAGTCCACCAAAATTCGAACTGTCAGCTGTCCCTCTGGGGCACAGGGACACAGCTGCACCTCTGGAGCAGGCTGCCTGGAAGCAGGTGGGGGGAGAGTGTTGCCACCCGAAGTGGGAGAGAAGGGGGAGATGTCAGCCTTCACAGCCAGCTGTGGGGAGGGCCAAGGAATCTGACCCTGGAATGTTTTCTCCTCTGGAGTCTGCCCTTGATCTGTGCTGTGCAGTAAGTACTCACTAGTCACATAAGACTCCTTGACTTGGCTCAGCATGGTGCCCATGCTCCCAGCACTTTGAGAGGCCGAGGCAGGTGGATCACCTGAGGTCAGGAGTTCAAGACCAGCCTGATCAACATGGTGAAACCCCTGTCTCTACAAAAAATACAAAAATTAGCTGGGCGTGGTGGTGTGTGCCTGTAGTCCCAGCATCCTGGGAGACTGAAACACAAGAATTGCTTGAACACGGGAGGCAGAGGTTGCAGTGAGCCTAGATCATGCCATTGCACTCCAGCCTGGGCAACAGAGTGAGACTATGTCACCAGATGTTGCAGGAGAAATTCCTCTCGTGGAAGACCCCAGGAAAGGACATTTCAAGGAGGAGGGATCAGTCAACTGAGAGATGGAGGTTGAAGAGTTGGGAGAGGCCACATTTGAAGCACGGGAAGCCCTCCTGATGTATTGAGTGCCTACTGTGTGCCAGGGAAGGTGCTGGGTTATTGAGGGGAATAAGGGGAAGGCGGCCTGGGAAGAATGTGGGAGGGGCGTCCCAGGCAGAGGGAGTAGCAGGAAGCCAGGCCTGGGGAAGGGAGGATCCCCAGATGCAGCTGGACAGCATCTGTCCCGGAGGGGGACAAAAAAGCTCCCAATGCCTGGGGCCTGACAGGTCAGCCCTGGGCTCGTGTGCAATGGGAGACCTGCAGAGGGCTCAGGAAGGGAGGGATTTCTTCTCTAGTAATAAACTCACTTCAGCTTTGGCTACTGCATGGAAATGGCTTGAGAGAGGCAAGACCAGAAACACCAGCTAGGAGGCTGCGACTGCTGTCCAGGCTGGGGGTGACAGAGTGCCTGGGGACCACAGCACAGCAGGAGGGATTTCTAGGTAAGAGGAAGCCAAGGGGGACATGAAGGGTGAGTCAAGGGGGACATGGAGTCATTGGAAGGTTGGGGAAATGGTAGAAAGAACTTGAGCAGCTGGGCGCGGTGGCTCACACCTATAATCCCAGCACTTTGGGAGGCCGGGGTGGGTGGATCACCTGAGGCCAGGAGTTAGAGACCAGCCTGGCCAACATGGAGAAACCGCGTCTGTACTAAAAATACAAAATTAGCCGGGCATGGTGACATATGCCTGTAATCCCAGCTACTTGGGAGGCTGAGGCAGGAGAATTGCTTGAACCCAGGAGGCAGAGATTGTGCCATTGCACTCCAGCCTGGGCAACAAGAGTGAAACTCTGTCTCAGAAAAACTAAACAAAACAAAAAACTAGAGCAGTGGTGGACAGGAGATCCCAGCATGTGGCACAGGGTAACGAGAGGCGGGGCCGGGGTTGGGCCATGGGCGGCCCCTCAGAGCTGGGGTCTCAGGCCAGAGACAGTCCTTCCAGGATAAAGGGACATCAGAGGTTTCTGCAGGATGCGGAGGAAGAAAGCCTGTGGGGCCCTTTGAGGCTCTGCAGAGAGAACTCTGGATCCCGCTGCCTCCTTCCTCAGGAAGGCTGGGGGCAGCAGGGTCCAGAGAGCCTGGCGACACCTTTCCTTCCCCCTGGTCACCTCCCTCAGCCCTGCAGGAGCTGCTGGGACAGGGGCTGGAAGCAAGCAGGGCCCCTCAGAGTGACCAGGGCCACCAAAGGTGACTGTCAGGGTTGCTGTCCTGCTGTTTCCCCGGCTGGGCTCTAGGTTGGAGCCAAGGAGGGCTTGCTACAAAACTCAAGAGTGCATCCAATGCTCTGAAAGGGCAGACCAGGGAGGGGCATACTGACCTCCAGCAGTGTTCCTGGTCCCCAAGCCCCCCACACCCTTGAGCACACCCCAGTGTCCCTCCCAGACCGCGGGCTCAGCCCTAGGAGAGCTGCTCAGGGAGCCTCCCTGTGGGTGTTTGCTCTTCCCCAAGCCATGGCCCATTTCCCCTTCCTCCTTCCTCCTCAGCCCAAAGGCAAGAGTCATGGAACCCCAGGATAGGATGGGACAGAACAGGACAGGGCCCCCAACCCTATCTTTATCTCACCAGCTGCTGCTGGCTGCCAAGCCTCCCCTAAATGGGGTAGGCTGGTCTGTGTGAGTAAGCAGAGGCAGGAAGTGGAGGACGACGGGAGCCTCTGCAGGGCCAGTTGAGCGTGGCCTGCGAAATGGTGAGAAGTGCCCTCCCAGTCGTTCCTCCTGGCTGCCCCGGGCTCTGCAACTGCAGGGTGCTGAGGCCTCAGGCCCAGAGATCTGACCCCTGCCTTCTTGCCTCTCCCCTGAAACCAGGGCCTGGTGGGGGACTCCAGAGTCCCCTCTGCCTCAGCCCCTGGGGCTCTTGATCTTGGGAGAAAACCAAGGAGAATTTGTGGCCCCAGCCCTGCCCGGGGGATGAGGTCGGAAGAGGGAGTCATGACAAGAAAGATGTGGGGGCCAAAGTCCCCTCACGCCGGGGGCCCAGGGGTGGCGATCAGGGAGGAGTTCTGTGCTTCCAGCTCTGTGATCAAGGACACACCAGGCTGAAATCCTCTAGTCCTCAACCAACCCACTAGGGCACGGAGACCCATGCACCATTATCAGTAAGAAAGTCAGGGGCCTGGCCTTGCTCTTCCACATCTAGAACCTGGGTAGGTCCATCGGAGCCACAGTCTCTGCTGTCACTACTGGGCCCCCTGCCTCCCTGTGCCTGCCTGTCAGAGAAGCCTGGAGATACGCACCTGATTCCATTTAAGCAACTGTTATTTTATTTTATTGTTTTCAGGGGAAAGCATGAGTGCAGTACCCCACTACCACAAATTATGCAGCCGGGTGTCCCACACTTGGGGAAATCACAGGGGTCAGCACATCCGGGGTGCAATTGAGACGGTTTGGCTCTGTGTCCCACCCAAATCTCATCTGCAATTGTAATCCCCACATGTCAAGGGAAGGACGTGGTAGGAGGTGATTGGATCATGGGGGCACTTCCCACCATGCTGTTCTGGTGAAAGCGAGTAAGTTCTCACGAGATCTGACGCTTTTCTTGTTTGTTTTGCTTTGTTTTGTTTTGTTTTGAGATGGAGTTTCATTCTTGTTGCTCAAGCTAGAGAGCAATCGTGCAATCTCTGCTCAGCACAACCTCCACCTCCTGGGTTCAAGCGATTCTCCACCTCAGCCCCTCTAGTAGTGGAGATTACAGGTGTACGCCACCACTCCCAGCTAATTTTTATATTTTTAGTAGAGACGGGGTTTCACCCATTGGCACAGGCCGCAGAGCTCTCTGGAGGGTGTGCTGTGCCTCACATTTGGGGTGGGGCAGTGGTAGAGAATGAGAGGTCGGAGGGAACCCAGGAAAGGAGGAAGAGACACCCGGACCCACACAGGCCCTACTCTTGGGCCTGCCCAGCTGAGCCAGCCTCTGAGAGGATCGTTCTCTGAGTCGTTTCCAGGAGAGCCCTGCCCCATCCCTGCCCTGGGCTTTCTGCGCTGTGAGGGGCTCCTGGGACAGGTGCTCCCTCTCATCTGCACCCCTGCCATTCTCCAGCGCCCCCGACAGATGTGACCTCCAGCGCCTCCAGTGACACTCTCACCCCATCACTATCCTCCTGCCACTGGGCGTCCCTGACTGAGCCCTGACACACAGGCACCTCGGGAAATACTGAGGGCACCCGCACCCTTACCGTCTGTTTTCAGACATGCCCACAAAACACATGCAGCCTCTCACTCACCTTCATGAAGCACATGGCGGCCAAAAGTTCCAGGAGCCAGGGCCCACTGGCGAGGAACAGGTGTGAGGAAAAGTGTCTCAGAGAAGCACCCTCCTCCCCAGAGGGTCCTCACCTTCAGAAACCCCAACTCCCCACCTGAGATGACCCAGCTCCACTGAGACAGTCACCTTCTACACCCAGTCTTCCTGGCACAAAGACACAGCTGGTTTCATGGGGGAAGTGGGGAGTAGTGGGCGGAGCCTCTCCCAGGGCAGGAGAGAAGGAGGCCACTCCTGCACCAGCTAAGTCATGCTCTAGGCTTCAGCTCCAAGAGACTGTCTCTCCATGCCCCCCAATCCTAGACCCTCCATGACTCTCACAAAGGCCACCATCCGAAGGCATCTTGGGATCCATCCAGACTGTACCTTGTTTTTTTGTTTTTTTTGTTTTTTGTTTTTTGAGACGGAGTCTCTCTCTGTCGCCCAGGCTGGAGTGCAGTGGCGCGATCTCGGCTCACTGCAAGCTCCGCCTCCTGGGTTTACGCCATTCTCCTGCCTCAGCCTCCTGAGTAGCTGGGACTACAGGCGCCCGCCACCGCGCCCGGCTAATTTTTTTGTATTTTTAGTAGAGATGGGGTTTCACCGTGGTCTCGATCTCCTGACCTTGTGATCCGCCCGCCTCGGCCTCCCAAAGTGCTGGGATTACAGGCGTGAGCCACCGCGCCCGGCCTGTACCTTGTTTTTATAGCTTTACGGTGATGCAATTCACAGGCAAAGCAATTCACTCACTGACCTGTGCAATTTAAAGCACAGAACTGTGCAGCTATCACCACAACCCATTTAGAACATTTTCATCACTTCTAAGAGAAATTCTGCCCCTCTGAGATCACCACCAGTCCTCATTTCCCTGGACAACCACTCATCTACTTTCTTTTACTTTTTCTTTTTTTTCTTAGACAGAGTCTTCCTCTGTTGTCTAGGCTGGAGTGCAGTGGCACGATTTCAACTCACTGCAACCTCTGCCTCCCGGGTTCAAGCAATTCTCCTGACTCAGCCTCCCGAGTAGCTGGGATTACAGGCACATGCCACAACAACCAGCTAATTTTTGTACTTTTAGTAGAGACGGG